GAATATCATGTGAATGCTTTGGGTTACATACTTTCTGCTGGTCGTATAATAAATTTAACCTGCTATCGTCAAGGCTTACGATATTTCTCTTCCTAGAGAGGCAGTCATACTCTCCAAAAGCTTTCTTAATGAACTCTATCCGTCGCCAAATCTCTTGGTGCCCGTCTCACCTCAGGTATGCTTTATGAATATATTCATTTAAGCGATTAATTGGAACCATTTACGGATTTTTGGTTATTTCACTAAATAGGCATACGTATTTTGCAAATCATTTTATCGCATGCTAAATCAAAACTTAAAATCGCCATCAAAGACATTAGGCCTAATGTCCGTCTGATGCAATCGTATAACACCTTGCTTAAAGAAAGCCTCCCGCTCTGCCGCTATTTCTCAGCTGTCATGCCCATGCCCTTATATGGTTCTCGATGCTCATGTTGAGTCTATGAATTCGTTCTGCTACATGCTTACATCCTAATTGCATTATCAACGAAGCTCTTTTAACTACTTAATATCCCAGAATAAGTCTCATATTCATAGCAAGGCGATATCTAGTGGCTACATAATCACAGTTATATTCCTTTTCTTTGATAAACTGGCATTGCATTCATCTGACCCTTATCCAGCGTGATGTTCCTCCACATCAAACATTTGATTGTTATCAATTCGGGCTATGTTGATCTCTCGCCCTTTATTAATGTCTAAAACGTAGTTGAACCCGCACGCCAATTTCGCTCCAAGAGGTCCTTGCATTTAAGCTACACATTAGCTTTTTTTAACCTGATTTGTAGATTGACAGACTAAACTTCATGACAGGATAGTCTATCTTCACTTAAACGAATCTATATGTTGGTATGCTTCGGTAAACTCTATCCAAGTTTCTTCATACTAATTTCTCGCTATAAACATTTGATGAAGGCAAACGCATCTTTATTAACTCTTTAAGATCTACATAAATGGCAAGTTAACTGATTACATTAGCTACCTACAATGTGAACTAAGGAAATTGACAAAATTTAACCATTGCTTGCACCCTTAAATGATGAATGCAATTTTTCATTAAATGCACTCTGGGTTGAGCGACGCGTCAGATGCTGCTTGTTAGCGCCTCTTCAATAGTTTCAAGATCACTTTTCACCCGCCGCACTAGCCGATCACGTGAGTCGTCCTCCCAGAATTCCATAGTCTCGGTGTATGCATCGTAGTAAACAGTAAACGGCCGCTTTATAGTTTTAGCAAATTCCCTGTATTAAAAGAAGTTGAGGATAATTAAAGAATCAGAGGTTTACGGGCGGTGAGTAGATATATTAGCGTATGGAATTTTAGATAATAAAAGTAGCTGGATTTTAATGAGCCTTTTGAGATAATCATTACGGAGACTTTCATTTATCATAAAAGTGCGTGAAGAAAGGATTCCAGATCTAACTGGAAGATGGTTGTTAATTCCAGTTCTGCAGCCGTTTGGCCTTAATATGGCGTTAAGGCTGACAATCCACCAGATATCGAATGAAACAAGTCTAAGGTTCCGTGCGTCATGACGCACATCATCACGGTTAGAATTTATTCTTGCAATGGCCTTAAGTTAACACCATATCAATAAGACTATTCTGCTCTACCCCACATGCTATATATACTCAACTACAAACTAACATATATATAAATACATGAATATGCAGTGGTTTTTTAATTGTTTTTCATACTGCTCACAGTTTCTCTATTCGAGTGTATCTGTGTGTGAGTTCGTGACTTAGTGTTGCCTTAAGGCTTTTTCGCAAATGACTTCGGGCATTGATCATGTCCGTCATACGACTGACGAAATCTTAGCCCTGTTTGACCAGAAATAAAGGAAAAGGTCTATTTGAATGCGTTAATCTGAATTCTTAAAGCCAAAAGACAGCATAGCAAAGGGAATCAGTTGTTTCTGGATGAGATAAAGTAAAGAAACTCTGAACCATGTACTTTCTTAAGAACTGAAAATCTCCATTATACTGTCAAATTTGGAAAGAGCTTCCTTCATTTCTACTTCCTTACTAGTTGGTGATGAACTAATCAGAATGGGTGAAGGATAGTTTGATTTTAAAGTAC